AAACCTTGAATAGGTACTTATATGTTCTTAACAATACACATAAGGTGAAGCGTAGAAAAGGACCTTTTATATATTATAGTGGATTTCAACTTTGGGAATTGTAGAAATACCTACCCTTAGYATTACATAACCGTATATTTAAACTTTAAATGCTCTGTTTATCTTTATTTATAAACGCAATTGTTAATTAAATATTGGATATTTATATTATTAGCTGTATCATAATGAATTAATGACTGTTTAGAGAACTATTCTGTTTTTGATAATGAAAATAAAAATAATATATAAATTTAAAAATTGTTGTATTATATACGTAAACAATTATCATCCTAAAAAATACAAACAATTAGGTACTGAGAATTGGTGTAGCTGTTTATATGGATATTGTATCTGGATATTTTAGATTATTCTGTTGGAATTTGTTTTTGCCGGTGATATAATGTACTATAATATTATAGACKTGTGCGGAAACGACAACGATCATGTGGGATATCATTTATGTTTTTTAATATATATATATGTTTTATATTAGAGAGAGTCGGCCGGGAGTACATAATATATGCGTAAGTCGTAAAGTATATTGCTTATAAATAAATATATTTATAGTGGCCATGAATATAATAACAGGTGTTAAGTGAAAGTATTGCGWTATTGTGTATATACTATATATAGTATATACATATAATATTGTAATATGTATACGACGAGCGTTTTGGCGCGGTACCTACGCCACTGTTATTATAGTGCAAACAAATTGGTCAGATTTTTTCTTCCACCTTTTTATATTACCCCATCAGTGTACTAGTACTTTCTTTGTAATTTTTAACGAGGCGCGTACTTATATTAACATTTCGGAGAAAACGCTGAGGTGTAATATCATATAAAAAGTATATTATGCATACTATATTTTTGTACACCTACCGCCTGGCGATGGCGCCCGCCTACAAAACAACTATCGTTTTATCATCGCGCCTGTTGCTCGTCGTACAGATTTTTAGTCGGTAACGGTCCATATATTATTGAAATCGTTTTTAACCCTACAATATATGATACAGTATATGATTTTTTATATTATGATTAAAAAATTGTTTTGGGTAGTTCTAAAGCTATATTAAATGCGTAAAAAATAATTTTAAAAATCTATTTTAATTTTAAAAGTTGATAAAGTTGGTTGTTGCTGTAGAGCAACATTATGCATTAAATTTGTGACTACGATAAACAGAATAAAAAATACATTTCAGTTTTTGTAAAATGTTGTAATATTTATAATAGAGATACCTAAAATTAGTTAAATTTATACATTTTAATTTTTCATAAATAAATCACTCGATGTCAAACAACTTCAACACGTCATAATCTAATTTCATATTTTTTTTAAATATTGTCATATTATAATTTAAAATTTGTTAAATTATATACATTTGAATCATTACATGATTAAATCACACAATATTATTAGGTTGTATGATACTTTTTGAAGCAAGTTTTTCCCTTTCCAACACATAATCCAACTTTACATTTTTCACACTCTTGTCATGTATATCCGTTGCAACCTAGCATTTTACAACGACTCCTCGTTGGTACATCAGTCAGCTAGTGATCAATACGATCCATGCGTATATCTTTATTTCGTGGTTTCGAGGCATTCKGTTTATTGGATTTTTGTATTAGTGCATTCTGGATGATATTTGATGGCCTTCCTCTAGTAGAAGTTAACTGACCAACTTTGCACAAAGATATGGCCAAATCTTCTTTAAACGCAGCTAATGTCATGGGTTTTTCAATGTTGCCCCTAATTTTATTTTTTTGAGCAATTATTCGCTTATGTAACAACCATGAATTGACAACAGTTAYGTCAATGATAGAAAATTCTTAAATACCATTTACGACTTCTTATTTTAATTTTTTGTCGTCCTAACAAGCTATCCAAACAACAGGTCTACTCCTCACATGTGTTTATTATATACACTTAAGATGTTTKGGCAGTCTATTTCAATGGATTTATATTTTTGAAAATCTTTTTACCTTAGAAATCGGATCGATTTCAACAAATGTAGAGAGCAAAGTTACCACCTTATTATCACCCCAGCAAGTTGCAAAAACTTCATGATTATTAATGTTTGCCAAACTATAATCTGACGAACCTCGTGGTTTTTTTWAAAATCTTTATCATTAGGTAATAAGACATTATTTAGGCGATTTCTGCAAACCGTTCCCAAAGAACATAATATTTGACGGTTTTTCATATACACCATTAATGGTACAGATGTGTGGTAGTTATCGAAATAAACTTTATAATTCATATTTTTCGGAATTATTATTCTGCATAGTCAAACGACTACATTTCCCGAAGCACCAAAATCTGGTTCCCATGAATACCTATTATCGTCATTATTTTCCTGACCACTATACATTTCAAAATTATAGGAAAAACCAGAAACACCGCATAACACAAAAAATTTGTACCCCCGCTTATGGTTAGCTTTAGTTGAACATAATTGCTCATCTTTGGATAAAGATTCTTCTAAAGGTATAGAAGCAAATMGTTTTTTTAAAGTCTACATAACTGGCCTAATTTTATGTAACCTGTCATGCCCAACGTGACCTTTAGGTAACAAGTTATTATTATCATTGAAGTGTATAAACTAACGAATTTTTTCAAATTGGTTGATGCTCATTGTTTCTTGAATAATTTGATTTCCTAAATTTGGAGACGTTTCGATGGGTCTTCAGGTTCACATTCAATATCTTCCATGTCAACATTAATATCCAAATTACTATCTAATAAGTGTATAGAATTAAAGAACGGATCTAATTCATCGTCATCAATATTTTCTAAAAATTTATCGAGTTCATTAAAATCAACTATATTATCACCATATAGTTCTACCTTGTTCGTCACCAGATTCCAAGTCGTCCACAGAATCAAATGGAGGTTTATTCTCCAATAATTGTACAATTTCTCTATCGAACAAATGTCTTCTACACATATTGAAGAAAAGTACTAATTTATGATGTAAAAATTAAAATAATAAAATACGCAAGAATACGTCACGCACTGAAATACGTCGAAAAAATATACTTCCCCTGTAGTGCTAAATAAATACTGTTGCGTATGAGCAACAACCATGTATTATTGATTTACAAATAAAATATTTGACTTATCTGTATAACACTATAACCTTTGAAATGATCTAAAGTTTAGATATATATCTACACGATAATATTTTTACTATTATCCATAGGCATATTTTAAGATTAAAAATGATTGGAAAAAACCCAGAATATTGTTACATTCACATCTATCGGTTTATTGATAAATAGTTACATACATTAAGAGGACGCCACACCCGCATGTATTGTCTTCGTCTTACAAACGTATAACAGCAAAATCTGTTTAGCACGGGACAACTTTACTCCCTTTGTATTTGTAGTAGAATTACCAAAATTCCACAACGCATAGGTAAGAACTTTATCTGTGTCATAGCGTCGTTATTTTTTTGATAACATAAATATAATTAAAGTTATAAGCTTAAGAAAATACATTTATTTTTTCATTAAATCACTTAAAAATATTGGTTTGTGCTATCAAAAAAATAATGACGCTATGACACAGATAAAGTTCTTACCTATGCGTTGTGAAATTTTGAAAATTTTATCATAAATATTGAGGGAGAAAAGTTGTCCCGCGCTAAACAGATTTTRCTATGTTACAACACATGCGGGTGTGGCGTCCTCTTAAGTAGTTAAATTTTTCCAATTATATACTGCCATCTATCGGTTTGTAAGTAAATCACGCAATATATTACTATGCATAATATTGTGATCATAGCTGATAATATACATTAACTAACATTATATAATATCTGATTATAACCATTTTTATCGGTTGTTGCCGAGAAGCAACACCATGCATTGTAGGGTTACATCACGCATAACTCAGCATAAGGCATAATGCACCATACCTTTAAGTCTGCTATAACGATATTATATTATATTTGTTTAGAAATCTATTGACAACGAGCTTACGCTTAGTTGGAGGTGTATCGTGTGTATTTAGTATTTATTTACTAATAAATATAAATATAATACACTGTATTATATTTATTTAATGCAGTTTAGGTACGCATGAAATATATAAATAATATTTTTCTATCTTAGAGAAAGTACTGTGCGTATTATATGATGAGTACTTTATTGTATGTTATTCCATATTAAACATTAATTACGATAATAATATAATTTCGTTTGTAAAAAAACTGGCCTATATAAATAGTAAATAGAATACACTATTCTTTCGTTTCAAATGTATTAAAGGGGAAAACAAATCATTTGTCCTATTTTTTTTTTCTCACATTTTATTATTCCACGCTTTTGCGTCTTATTATTTTGATATATTACATATTATGTATGTATTTTGTTATAACCTATATTAGATTCTGAACTAAGTGAGGATTGTTTTTATATTTAAATGTGTTATATCGACACTTATCATACTATTACCAAACGGATTTTAATACAAGTTCATGTTTGATAAAATAATAATAATAACAACACACGTCGATGAAGCATCAAAATTAATTTAAATGGGACGGACAGAGGATACGTCGCGTATCATTTATTATATATTATATTATATAGTGTCATTGTTGTCCGCTGAAACAAAAAAATAAAAGATGATTCGTTTTCTTTGTTACGCGGTTAGATTCAAAAGTGGGGTATTAAAATTATGTTTCGTCGAATAATGGTACGTTTTTAAATTAATAATTAAATTACGTGGAGAAAATATTACGTAAACTCGTCGCGCACGACGTTATTATTGCGCAATGGGCGCAATGTGGTTGTCGTTTCAAGATTAGACTGTGCGTTCTTTTTATTCCTTAAAATCACAACTACGATACACCTATTTTATTGTTAAATATATAAAAATGTCAAAATTCCGTACAATTTTTACTATGTGTGAAATAATAAAATTTGTTTTTCTACATAATATATATTGATTTCAGAAGGGAGACCGTTCGCTGTTGGCACAATTTTTTTACGCCGACGACGAATTGAACGCCGTCGCTGCAGAACTGGATAGTTTTGACGGTAAAAAAGACCCTCAGCGGTGCACCGCCCTCGTGAACCATTTGCGACAATGTCAGGACAAAGTGAGTAAAACAATCCATCCCCGCCCACTGCTTATACACTTTGACTAACACATTTTCTACCTATAGAGTAATGTATTTTTAGACACAAGAAATTTCATAGTTATATTTAATTAGTGTATAATAAACAATGTTTTTTTTTTGTTTTTAGGTCTTGACGATCTGTATTAAAATTATGGACGAGCTGATACCTGGCGAACGGGCCAGTCGTGATTTTCGTGTAAAATTTCCAGACGACGTAATTCAAGATAATCTTGCGGGGCAGTTATGGTTTGGCGCTGAGGTAATTATTATATTCACTGTATAGGTGTAATGTTCATAGGTACCAATGTATGTAATAACTTGGTATAAAATGTGTATTGTATACATCCCAGACARCAAAATTATGTTTCCATAATGTTATTTAGTAACATACACAAAATAAAAACATAAAAACACACATGCAATGTTAGATTCTGAACGAAGTGATGAATGTATTGATTTTACAATGATGTGTGTTTTTTTTTGTGTCTGTGTTCAGCATAACTAGTCGAAATAATCATAAAATTTCTTGCGTTTATAACTAAGGATTAAAATACAACACTAAGTTTTCCATAAGTTTTCCTTCAAGTAGCTATAAAGAAAACTCGAAGCATCATTATAGGAAAATTTTAAGTGCATTTGAATTTTAAATTTTTACGAAATAGCGTAACGATAACGATTTATCATGAAACGATTTTAAATATTTGTTATTATTCAAAAAGTATAAGTCGTAGATACTTGAACATTTTATCAGTTATTTAGATTGGCGTTTTCTTTACATGATTTAATTTTCAAAATATTTT